TTTCTTTCTTTCTTTCTTTCTTTCTTTCTTTCTTTCTTTCTTTCTTTTCTATTCTATTTTCTTTTCCTCCCTTCCTTCTTTCTTTTCTTTTCTTTTTTTTCTAAGAAAAGCTACCCAAAGCTGTTACAGAAAAGTACTATTTTGTTCTTTGCACAAGCAAGACCAGAAACCATAAAGATAAGGAAACAGGTGAGAGACTGACCTGGACGGAACAAAGAGATAACTAAGAAGTCATCCTCGGAGCTAGAGGGCTTATTTGGGGGTAAGGAAGCTAGGTCCTGGGATGGAAAGCGGTGCTGCGGAGTCCAGGTTGTGCCTGTGAATACACAGTCAAGATGGCTTCAGCTCCTATACACCTCCATCCTGTGGCTCGGCTTCAGCTCTGAGCTTTTCCAGTTCTTCACCACTGGATTCCATAGGGCACCGCTGGTACCTAGTACTGGGAGTCTTTGTCCGGGAAGAACAGCGACAGTGCCAGAGTCTGCAGAGGCCATAGATAGCAGTCAGCAAGGCAGCCGCTAAGGCCAGGTGCCAGCAGAAAAAGATGGTTACAAATGCCATATCCATAGGGCTGTCTTCCTGCCAGGGCCGGCCGGTGAGAGGTATGAACATCTCACATATCTGCATCATCCAGGTGCTGAACACCATCCCCAGCCAGCACTTGAGGACCCAGAGTGGGGCATGGTCGGGGAGCCAGATCTCTACAGTGGCCACCAGAGCGAGCAAGAAGGCAAGTACCACTAACAGCAAATGTACTCGGTTATCCAGGGGGCTCTTGCTCTCAGCGTGGCTTATCATCATCAGTGCCAGCACGTACAGAGTCAGGGCCTCGGCTGCACGCTCCAGCTTCATGCTCCAACGGGACGACGGGTGTGACTGGCACACGATGTCCGCCACCCCACTGAGGACAAAGAAGCCAAACATGGTTATATGCTCCCAGACCGACTTGAAAACGAATGGCCGCCGAGGGTCTTTCCAGTCTATCATCTTGAAACGGTTGACCCCTATCGGGGAGAACCATTCACCAAAAATGCTAATGGTGGGGAAAACCACCTTTGCCAGTGCTTCATACGATACCTGCCAAGCCAGCTTGTGTCCCCCCAGCTTCCTTGGGAGCATGGGGTGCTGGAGGACCCTCTGTTCCTGTAGCAGGGCCAAGGAAGTTAGCACCGAGTAGTAGATTACGTAGAGAAGGAAACCTACCGCCGGCACCAGGTGTCCCAAAAAGGTTGCCATGGCTTTTGTGTGTGTTGAGACGAACAGGACCAGAACCTTCGCTGGCTCAGAAGCCTCTAACGATTCTCGGGATGTCCAGCAGCTTGGCGCTGCTACCCACGTTCAAGAAAGTGTATCTGAGCTGCCACCCACGTTCAAGAAATTATATCTGAGCCACTCCTAGGGTGGGGCCTCTAAGCAATGTGGTTTTTAGTCATCTCAAAGTGCCCCGACTGAAGTTTACTGGGGCTGAGGTTTCAGCTTCTGTACCACGTGGCAGATGCTGCAGATCCAGCTTGCCCTTCTTTTCATTGTAAGCCCCATGGGCTGGTCCCTAGAGAAGAGCGAAGGACCAAGAGGCTTTAGCAAAGGAACTGTAGGCTGCCTCTGCCACTGACAGCTGGTGCCAGGCATGCTCTAAACATTTCTCTCATTTGAATCCCTCAGCAGGGGCAATGGAGAAATGGCTCAGGGCTTAAGAGCTTATTCCGTTTTTCAGAAGACCTGAGTTCGGTCCCTACCACCCACCTGGGGCATGTCACAACTGCCTGTAACTTCAGCTCCATGACACCCTCATCTCTTCTTGGACACTCCCGGACAGTCACACACATACACCACACCACACCACACACACAAACACCACAACATCCAGACACAGACATACACAGAGACACACACACTACACCAAACACACACAGACACAAATACAGACACACCACACCACACACACACACACACACACACACACACACACACACACAAACACACAGTTAAATCCTTGAACAACTCACTGAGAAGGGACATTGTAAAACTGATTTTATTGGTGAAACTGAAGCTCACACAGGACAGGCACAAAACACTACATCGAGTGAGCAATAGAGTAGGCCCAGCATGGACCCAGGTTTACTGGTCTCACTCAGTCCAGCATTTGCCCACAGCAAGATAACTGGAATTCAGCTCCAACACATTAGAACACAGGACTGTGCACGTTACTTCACTTTCATCTTGGGTTTTTGTTTTGTTTTTTTTTCAAGATAAGGTTTCTCTGTGTAGCCTTGGCTGTCCTGGACTTGATTTGTAGACCAGGCTGGCCCTAAACTCACAGAAATCCACCTGCTTCTACGCCCCCAAGTGCTGGGGTTACAGGCGTGCGCCTCCACACCCGCGCCACCATACCTGGCTTTTTTAAGTGTTGTTTTCTAAGTCCGGATTTTTTGTTTGTTTGTTTTTCCAGATAGGAAAAGTCAGTGCAGTGCAGACAATGGCTGTCTTGGGACTCACTCTGTACATCACTGGACATAAAGTGTGCGCACGCACATGCGCTTTAAATGAGGTTACACCACTTGGAATGATGATACTTCTCCCGAGAGCCATAGACAACTTAGTAAAGCTTCAGTATCAGGCCTGGGAACCTTCTCTTGGTCAGGGGAATCTAAAAGACTCTCAACATAACACAGGCTCCTGCTGCTGCCCTTGGCTGCCTCCCAGAGCTGGAGCCCCTGTTGCTGAAGACATCACACAGTTCAGACACAGGGCTTGGAGGGACTGGCCTGAAAGCCCCCTCCCTGAGGAGGGGTCGTAGTCTGTGAATGTCCTACCTGAGCTGCCAAGAGAGAGAAGCAGTCGGTAAGTCTGCCCAGCTATAAGCGTGCGAGCCTCATGGCCAGAATGAAGCCATATCCCCAAGAGTGTAGTAACAGTATTTGTGTCCTGGGGGTGACCAGCAACTGTGTGATAGGACTTAAGGCCTGCTCCCTAGGAGGAAATTCATGCCAGACAAGGTAAAATCCAGCCAAATCCCCACGGCTGCTGAGCCGATCGACCCTAGAGGAGAAGCTACTACTGCCGATGGAGAAAGACAGCCAACATTGTCCTCTGGTCTCCCCACACGGATGTGTATGCACCTGCACATACATGTGAACATATCTGCACAAGCATGAACACACAGCACTCACACGGGACAATTAAAAATTTAAAGACAGTATTTCCAAAATAAAAAATAAGCTGTGAGGTTTTATCCCGTATGTAATCCCAGCATACAGGGAGGCAGAGACAGGCGGACCTCTGAGTTCCAGAACGAGTTCCAGGGCAGTTAGGGCTGCACAGAAAAACCCTGTCTCAAAAAACAAAACAAACAAAAATGGCAAATAATATACAGTCTCTATTACTGTTCAGAAAAAATATTCAAGATACTCAGTCTCTCTGGTAAAGTGATGCGCAACAGGTACCTGTAGAAGACTGACTCTTTGTGACTCCTGGAATCTACGTGTTTAATCCCCAGCATACCGATCTGAGAATACTTGTTTGTGGAACTTCCTGGGAGGGGACTAGATTTAGATTTAAGATAATGTTGTGAGGGTGGGACTCTCAAAACTCAGTGCCAGGCAAGGTAGGGAATCCTAGCACTTGGGAAGTGAAAGCAGGAGAGTTCAAGGCCAGCGTTAGGTAGTCTGAAGCAAGCCTGGGTTGTATCAAACAGTCTTGGGGGTGGGAGGAAGAGGGAAGAAAAGATCCAATTAGCACTGTTCTGAAAAGAGGAGAAAGCCCATGCCGAGGAAAAGCCATGTGAGCATACAACAGCAAGGCGGGCGCCTGCAGCCAGGAGCACCCTCACCGGAAGCCAACGATACTGCCACGCTGAGCAGCTCCGACCTCATCCTCAGAAGTGTGTGGCAGAGGCCGTCCACCCACAGAGGACCAGACAGCACCTGCCTCACAGCATAACACGGGAGAATCCTCCCAGGCCTGCCCTCCCACCTCTGCCAGCTAAGTAAACCTTTAGGCTCCACAGTCTCCTGAGGTAGCAACCGTGCAACGAGTGTTCAAACCACAAGCCTGTGAGAGACACTGAGTCCAGTCACAACCGTGTTGCTGTAACAAACAGTTAAGAGTGGGAAGGGATCACCCTCCGGTGAGAATAGGCGGTCACGGGTTAGCAGGTGCTGGGGTGTTCTTGTTCTAGGGAGGGCCTCACTGGGCTAAACATGACTCAAACCCTCTTGTTTCCATCAGACTCAGTGGGAGCCTTTAACAATGCCGCCAGTGTTTGGGAGACACCTCTAAAAGCCTCGTTTGATTGGCCTAGGATTAGATGTTAAGTATCCATGCTTTTAGACTTCCCGTAAAGACACAGAAGGCTAAATTCCACATGGTTTCAATTAGTGTTCCCCGGGGAGGGGTCTCACATTGTAGCACAGGCAAGTTGGGAACTTACGAGGCAGCCCTGGGTTTGAACTCACGGAGACCCTCTTATCTCAGCCTTGGAAGTGTTGGGATTACTGACTTGATCCACTTAACTCATGATCCCACTTTCGAAGAACCCTAAATCAGTCAGATCCACGGGGACAGAAAACAGAATGCGGTTACCAGGAACTTGGGGAAGATGGACCTGGGCTTCGACCTTTGATAAGCACGGGCATATGGGAAAATGAAAGGCATATGAGGATAGGGGGTGGGGTTTGCTGTGAAAGTACATTCACAGCAACGTGAATGTACTTTCTGCCATTAACTGGAGGCCTAGAATGGTTTGAGCGGCACATTTTATGTTTTGTCTGTAGATAGCTACCAAAAATACAAATAAGCCAAGAGTGAAGACTGAGACTCCCATGATTCTCATGATGGTCGTGAGGAACACTCCCCCACACAGTGAAGCTGCAGGGTTAGTGCTGCCTGACTTACCTGAGGGACTGATCTCGCCCTGATCTGAGGCATACGTCAGATCAGAGCAAGGTCTCAGCACTGAGGAACAGAGATCTCCATTTTAAAAAGTTCTTCAGGGCTGGAAATATTGCTGAGCAGTTGAGCACTTGCCAACCGTGCTGCAAGGCTCTGGGTGTGGTCCCTAGTGCTGAAAGAAAGAGAAAGAGAGGACGGACACGTGTGTGCACACGTGCACGCACACACACACACACACACACACACACACAAATCTCACATAGTCTGGATCTCAAAGCTCATTTCTTGAAGACTTGATTCTCTGATGATGGAGCTACAAGGAGAGATGAAGTCTCCAAGAGATGACTTTTTGTTGTTTTTTGACCCAGGGTCTCTCTGTGTAGCCTTGGCTGTCCTGGACTTTGTAGACCAGGCTGGTCTTGAACTCACAGAGATCTGCCTGCCTCTGCCTCCCCGAGTACTGGGACTAAAGGCGTGCACCACCACACTTGGCTGCATTGCTAGATTTTTAAGGTCTGAGCTTGGCCCCTGACAACGCTAACAAATTTGGCCATCCATCCATGTCTCCATCCTTAATGTTCCAAATAAGAAACAAGCAGATCCTGAACTGATCAATTTTTCTACCTGTCAGAGGAATCCTGAAGTTATCTCTGGGATCCTAATATAATTCTGTTTCTTGATCTCATGCCGGATAGACAGGTAATCTGGGTGAAACCCACTGAGCTGTGAGCTTCTCTGAACTGTACGGATACTATGTGTGTATATATATAAAGGTTGCGTTATAAGCCAAATAACAAAGAACCCCTTCCACAACCTTACGCACAGGCATGCTGCACAGCTGTTTCTCCTCTGGCTTCGCTACCGAATTCAACAGTATTCTCCCATCCACCCAGGGCCTGCACTGCAGAAGTCAGGTGTAGTATGGCTAGTTTAGTGTTTTCAAAAAATGGTCAAGGGAAGAGCACAGGCCCATGTGTTGTTCCTGGGGAGAAACATGCAGATTAGGTCCTTAGAGCCTCACTGGTATACACCCAGACAGCAGTGACGTAAGACTGGACCGACTCATCCCAGCCACCCGTCCTCTTTCCACAGTGCTCCCTTTAGCCAACATCCTTCAGAGCTCACATTTGTCAGCTTAGCCCTACCGTCAGCCTTCCAGAGAAACATGTCAAGAGCCTAACAGCCTCCTGAGTCAAAGAATGGGGCTTGTGGGATAGGAAGCCAAGCTGCATCTCACCGCTGAGCAGGTGGTCCTCGTTTGTAGAAAGCAGGCTGAGCAAGGCAGAAGGAGCAAGCCAGCAAGCAGTACCCCTCCACGGCTTCTGCTTCATGTTCCTGCCTCGAGC